TACATTTTTGGAACTGAATTACACTTAGTCTTTAAAAATCCTATAAAAGTATCCAGTACTGACAGATGTACATGAACAAAAACATGTGTTGTCTTGACACCAAAAGTAAGCTGGATTTGTTTGCCAGGCCCAGAAAACACAGGTTCACCTGAAAGCTTTTAAGTTATCAAGCAACTTTTGGCAATAACCATTATATTTGCTATTTAGTATATCAGATAGCTCCTATTAGTGAAACTATTGTTTCTAAAAGGAACTGGGAGTTTACCATTAGCTGGTCCACCTTAATTTTAAGATTAACAATACTAAAGCCGATTACAAATTGTTTATACAGCTCACAATATTTAGTACCTCGCAGAAGTCACTACATCAAAACGTGGAGTGTAGCAGCGTCTTCACAAAGCTGTTCAGCTTGAGACTTACTGTACATCCCTTGAGCTCGCTTGCTCGTCTTCTGCAATATCTCAGACAACTGGGCCACAAACTTACTCAGGGATTAGTTAAAGTGGCGGACGGATTTTCACACTGAACCAGGAGCGGGTCCTGTCCATCAAACACGAGTAGAGACTCATGATTTTTCCCACTGTGAAACAGCATGACGGCAGCTCTGAAGAAAATCCTCTAGATACTCCGCCTCCAGTATTCCAACACGCCGGGAAGCCTAATCGAGGTTTCAGCTCCGAGGCGCAATCAGAAGCGGTTTTTCAGCATGAAAAGCGAGTTAACATGACAATCGATCGCCGCACCAGTAACGCACATCAAAGAGCAAGCCTTAAGCATGGGACGTGTATTTTGTTTTTCTGACGTGTACTGCAAAATCAATTTATATGGTTTGTTTAAACCAAAACCAAGTTGAAAGGTTCAATTCTGCCTAGGATAAGACAGCTGTAATAAAACCAGGCACAAAACGGAGCAGGCAGAAACATTCGTATAGGCAATTCGGCTATGCGCATCGCATCACTGATGTGGAAAAATGGCCAGTTTCAAAATATTAGGTGCGAGTGCTCACTGGGTTAATGCGGCAGACAACTACTAAAAAGTGATTTTAGAGCTAATTACATTACTCTTAAAGATCCAGCCCTGGGCACTGGTAGCTCGTAGCTGTAACAAAGGTTTATTCACCAATTTACTGTTAAATCAAATTTCTCACTTTGCAGCGACTTGTAAATGTCGACTTAACAAGTGGCCGATCGGATGCTGCAGTAAACCAGTTTAAAAGGCAGCACTTTAACACTGAGGGCTGCTGCTGTATGAACTGGAAACATAATATTTGCATATTTACCTCCGGTTCCTCCATGATATCCTGGGCTGGGGAGAGTTAGAGAAAACCTTCCAGAGAGGTGTGCTTTTCTACGGCCAGTCCATGGCGAGGGGTACCCCCATCGATGCCCAGCAATACAAATACCCTCCAGCGCTTCGCGAAGATGAAACCAATAATAAAAGGCGAAAATACAGTTACGCTGTAATGACCGGCACCGGGCGACATCAATTATTCAAACCGCTCATCATATTGATTTTCACGGAGTTCGTACAGGCGGCGTTTGGGTCACAATGTTTCATTATAACCAATTTAAAAAAAAGAGTAGCGAGATATTAAAAAATGTTTCGCAGTTGCCTTGTGTCGGTTCCCCTCCCACACGAGAGCGGACTCGCTGGCGAGCGTGAAACCCGTCTGGAAGCGGGGCTGGTGCGTCTCCGAAACGCGTGTAAAATTGTGAGGAGTCGTGCACGACCGGGCGAGCCGGGAGCCGGGAGAGGACCGAGGCGTGCAAAACAATCGGCCCTCCGGTGTTTTGACAACGCAGCTGCCAGGGACCGCGTCTCTCCGGAGCTCTTGTCCAAAAAAGGCAAAACTTTTGCCCCCTCTCTGTCTCTCTCTGCTGGACACACCGCTCGCTACAAGGAGGACCGCCAGTCACGGCCACACAACCAACTTCGTTCAAGTTTGGCGGCGGCTGAGGGTCTTCAGAGATGTTTTGCTTCCTTCAAAATGTCCGACACCGAATCCACTTTCGAGTCCGGCGACAAATGCTCGGATCCCAGATTTTAGCAGCCTTCCTTTGGCTGGGAGGAGTGCCGCTGTCTCTTCAGCAGGTTTTTTGCGTGTCTCATTTTTCGGCACTTTACGGTACCCCCTCTCAAACACATACACACTTCGACTGTTTAAAGAGGGAACCCTTAATTTTTTTTTTTTTGCATGATTGTGTTGCAGTAGGGGCCAGCCCAGCGGTACCGATCCACTCGCTCCTCAGATCCGCCGGTTCTCCGCCCCCGGGTCGGGCAGATTCCCCGACCAGGATCCAGCTGGTCGGATAGGCAACAATACTGCAACTCCAGCTAAGGGAGAGCACAGAAACTTCGCGGTGCATACAAGGGACACGATCTGAACCTCGCCTCGGCACCCACTTCGAGACGTTAAAAAAGTGTCAGCATTTGTTTCTAACGAATTAAAACGCCAGAGAAAACTTACAGTCGCTTACTCCATGTGACTGTCAGGGATTAAGGGAAGAGACTTAGCTGTGTCTGCTGTTGTCTCTCTTGTGCAAAGGCAGATTTAAAGCTGGCGGGGGCATTTTTCGGATACTCTGGAATCGGAAACCGGCCGATATGTCCTGTCCCGGCCCACAGCATCACAAGACCCAGTGCTGGAGAGGCGCCCGGGAAGAAGTCCGGCCGGCCGCCCAGACTGTTACCCCGCAGATGAGCAGCAGCCGACGGGCGCTCACTCAGCACTGTGTCGGCGGAGGCCGAGGGTAACCTTGGCAACGGACCGAACCATGAGCTCTGCATGGCGGGGGGGGGGACCTAGCATTTGAGAAAGAGACTTGTAGCATTTGGGGAAAAGCAATTACTGCCATTACCTGAGTGAAATAAGTGAATATAAACAAAAGCACTTCCACACCCCTTGTTTTACCAGTAATGATAAATTCGGACTTTTTAAACGTTGAAGTATAGTTTTAATTTTTTTTAAAAGATCACCATTTAAATCCCATGAACATGAAGTCATTTAAACTAGAAATAACTCCTAAACCTCTCGAATGAGAAACCTCTCGTTCAATCAAACATTAAATGAAGTTCTTGAAATCAAGAAATCAACGAAGTCAGAGAGTATGCGTCTGTACTTAAAATATGCTACTGTGAATCAATAATTCATTAATAAAACCGCGTTGTTTGGGTGTTTGAAGTTAAGGGCTGTTTCTGTGAGGAATGGTTTTGATATGGATACTGGTTTACCGTATAATCGCGTGAAGGTGGGCACATCATATTTTTGTGTATCTAATTGAGAAGTTTGATTGCCAAAATGGAGAGTTCCGCGAAGAGTTAAAGTCGGATAAAATCTGTCGTGTCCGTTAATGCCTTTGGGGTTGGATGAAATATGTAAATGTTATTGCACATCTCCGGTTTTAGAAAAGTCCGCGAAGATCGCAATTGAGCTTACTGCGGATATACTCTCATGTAAACCCACTGAAACGCGCACCCCTGCGATTGGCAATGCTTTCTACATGCTTCGGGAAATTCGAAACTGATAAATCTACCTGTAGGATGCAAAACTGTCTGGTGCCATCTAGTGTTCGGAACAAAAATAGACAATCCAAAAACAAGATCCCTTTTTTTTTCCCCAAGCGCGTCTCTCACTGTGTTTACTTTGATATGGAGCGCACTCTTTAAAATAGCCCAGAACGTGTTCAACGACTCTTTGCTGGGCTGGAACAAAAGGCACTTTTGTGCACAACAGATTGTGTATTTGTGGGATAAACTGAGAAACTAGGCTCTAATTTAGACTAGAGAAAATGGTTAAAATACAGAAATGTCTCTTCTCTTGTAAGTCCTTACATATTACGCCAGGACAAACACGAAACTCACATGGAAGTGCACTGGAAACTAAGAGCAGGGGTCATTTCTTTACGCAAAGAGGGGCAGGAGTGTACAACAAGGTACACTGCATTTTTGTTGGTCCGATACCTTAAAGATGATATCCTTGGATCAATCATCTGCTAACACCCAAAACAGCTGGATGGCCTGGTTAGCCTCCTAATTGTCCCCACGAGGAGGGAGTTAGAAATTCTTCCTCTCTCCACCTCAAGGGTCGTGGTTGAGGTGGTTGTCGAGTCTCCACAGGGAGCATCCAGCCAGATGAGCCGATTATTGTTTTCTCAGTGCTCCCCACTGAGAGCTGGTGTGTGGTGAGCGTTCTGGCGCACCATGGCTGCCGTCGCATCATCCAGGTGGAGCTGCACACTGGTGGTGGTGGAGGGGATCCCCATTACCTGTAAAGCACTTTGAATGGAGTGTTCAGAAAAGCCCTATATAAGTGTAAGCAATTATTATTATTCTATTATTATTCATGCTGGCGTTTCTGTGACATTATTGCTGGTTGTGTGGAAACTTCCTGGAGTGATTCCAATGGCATTTTTCCAGGATGTGTTGGTGAGATATATCACCTGTGCTTTCTAGCAGAGGGGAGCCTGGGAGATGACAGCACTGTACACCAAGCTTTCTGCTTCTCTTTCCAGAGCTCCGTCTGTGAAGCCAGAGGAAGTGAGGCAATGGATTCTGCGCAGAATTTCTTCCTCCATGGTTGAGCTCTGGGAGAGACGACAGCTCCAGGAGGACAAATACTTCGATTCTTTCAGAGCTTCATGGCACCGATGGTGACCCCCCTAAATCAGGAATAATTCTTGGTTTTGTAGCCGACTTCGCCACCTAGCAATTACAAGGGGGTTAGAATGCCTTTATCCCAGCAATAGGTTCTCTCTATCCCCCAGAAGCACAAGTGCATCCACAGGTCAGACAAGACAGACACATCCACCAGGGCCTGTTTCTCACAGAACCCCATGGGTGTCAGTGAAGTCACTAGGGACTTGTGAGAAAAGGTGGTCGGACCCTATGCGGTGCTGAGAGAGTAGGTGTCCAAAATCCTAGGAGCGAAAGGCAGTATACGAGGTCGGGGTAGGCAGGCTTGGTCGGGTTTCTGGAGAGTCTGGTAGAGTAAACAAATCCAAAAGACGCTAGGCGAAGACGAAGCCGGAGACAGAGCTGGGTCGGGTATCCAGAAGTCAGGTCAGAAGGGTATCCAAATCCAATAGCTGCTAGGCAGAAACAAAGACGAAGCCGGAGACAAAACAGGGTCAGAATCCAGAAGTCAGGTCAGAAAGGTACGCGCACAATAGAAAGGCTAAGTCGATCTCAACAGTGAGCGAGGACTGAGAGGAGTGAGAGGGTATAAGCAGAGCTGATAGCGTAACCAGGGCGCAGGTGTTGACGCCGAGAGGTGCACACAGGAACACAGTTCGTGACAAGGGGCCCCAGTGACCAAGTGCCAACATCCCAGAGGAAATGTCCGGCAGCATTCTTTTCCGAATCCAGCTCCGGTCGGTCGCCTGATGCACCTCGCTCTGCCACAGTGAAGACACTCTGTGCCGTTTTCCGCATCCTCCTCCCTGCCAGCTGTCCTGCGCAGTGTGGTTCCTCATGCTCCCCCCTCTACCCTGCTAGTCTCCGAGTCCTCTGCTCTCTGTAGAGTCCCTGGTGTCCGAGTGCTCCCCTGGGTCCAACCGCTGCAATCTCTCCCCTGTGTCCTGTCCACTGCTGTTTTTTAGCTGTTCTTGACGGAGTGGGAGTGTCCCTTTGATGTCCAGGGTGCGGGCAGAGCTAACCACTGGGAGCTCGTTGACCAAGTGGCTGCAAGCAGAAGGCATAGAGGTGACTGTGTCTTCACACCTTGTTCTTGCAATCCCACATGTCCCCTCTGCACTGTGTGGCAATTAATGAGTAATTAATGAGTGTTCCCGCAAGGAGGACCTATGATCAATGGGAAGCTTAAGAGCAAGGGAAGACACATGCACCACCTTAAGGAGACTGTTTGTTTAATGCCAATTTAAGATCAGTGTGGTTCCTGATGCCTGTTGTTCTACACCTGGTTATTCATTCTGTGACATTAACATTGATGGTGACTTCCTGTGTGCTGAGGCCCCAGTGGGAGTGGGGAGATGTTTCGTCAGGGCGATTGAGATTTTGAAGTTCCTTCACGTTGTGCTCCAGGACAGCACAGCTATGGGTGGACTGAAGACTCTGGTTTCGGAATAGATGTTGAAAAAAACTGCATATATCTCCTCAGTACTCAGTTTTAATTCCAAAGGCGACTTTGGTGTCCTTGACAGCTGTCAGGCAAACAGACAAGAGCACTGGCGCAATACCGCATTCCTGTTTAATTCTGTTTTTGTTCATGTTGACCCCTATGCTCGTGGAGGACTTTATTATTTGGTATCGGATTTTATTTGTTATCATTGATTGATTTGCTAGGTGCTTTATTCCAAATATGGCTTCCCCACTTACACAGCTGGGTGTTTTAGTGAAGCAGCCTGTGTGATGTACAGTACGTGCAGTACAGGGCACAACAGTTATGCCACAGATTCACACACAGATGTGCATGCGCAGCCTTCCAGGTACAAGTCCAAAAGCTTAACCAAAGCCACACATTGCTGCTGTACTTGTGCTGCTAATAAATGGCTCAGTATCAGATCCACTGCAATAAACAGTGGTAGGTAATTTCATCATGGAATAACTTGAGGGTGATTAATTTTGTTGGACGCCCAAGGGCCTTCATTAGATGACTAAATGATAATACTAAAAATGATGATTATTTATACTTATATAGCGCTTTTCTGGACCATCCACTCGAAGTTCTTTACAGGTAATGGGGATCCCCTCCACCACCACCAGTGTGCAGCCCCACCTAGATGATGCAACGGCAGCCATAGTGCGCCAGTACGCTCCCCACACACCAGCTCTCAGTGGGGAGGAGAGCAGAGTGAAGAAGCCAGTTCATAGATGGGGATTATTAGGAGACCATGACTGGTAAAGGCCAATGGGAAATTTGGGCCGGGATGCTGGTGTAACACCCCTACTCTGTTCAAGAAACGCCCAGGTGTTCGTAGGCCTGGGCACTTTCACTCTGAAATGTGCCAAAAGATGGGTAAATGCCAATTGAATTATGCCGATTGACATAATGCACTTTAAACTATTGTAATGACTTGGGGATTAACACAGAATGAAGCTCGCACACCTCTGATGTGCCAGCAACAACACGTTTATTAACCTTCACCCCTCGGACTTTGACAGACAGAGGTTGAAACTCCTCGAAGGGGTCACACACACACAGGGTAAGGATTAAGGAGGGGGACTTCAGTTAAGGGGGGGGGGTGTTACAAGGACAAAGCAGCAAACACTGACACCTATTTACAATGGCTCCTCGTATTTACACTGCCAGGTCAATCTCCGGTCGACACACTGCCCTCAAGTCCAGCCCCTCAGCCACTACCCCCAGCCTGCCTTGTGGGCACAGAGCTAATGGGAGGTGCCCCACTATTCTAATGCTGTACCATGTGATTGATGGAGCGAGTTGAGCGACCATCACTTCGATCCTTCTAGTTTCTAGAACAGCTGCTAGGTAGCGTATGATTATTGATTTGGAGCACCAAGAGTTGATCAGCTCGTTTTTCATTAGTCACTAGTGTTTCCTTCCTTCATAGGCCCTAGGCATTTTGCCTACAGTGCCTAATGGGGAAATCCAGCACTGGAAACCTCCTGGGATTTCTAATGACCAGAGAGAGCCAGGACCTCGGTTTTATATCTCATCCGAAGGACGGCACTTTTTTTACAGTGTAGTGCCCCCGTCACTATACTGGGGCATTAGAAACCATACAGACTTTAGGGTGAGCGCCCCCTACTGGCCCCACTAACACCTCTTCCAGCAGCAACCTTAGTTTTTCCCAGGAGGTCTCCCATCCAGCTACTGACCAGGCTCACACCTGCTGAGCTCCAGTGGGTTGCCAGTTGTGAGTTGAAGGGTGATATGGCTGCTGGCAAGATGCGGAGCAGTTCCTGATGATGTTAGTGAGATGGTTTGGTACAAAGATCACGTGCTTTGTATCACAGGATGTTCTGAATCCCAAGTGAGAGTCTCTCTAACGATCCATGAGCTGGTTAGAAGAATATTGAGAAGTGTTTTATCAATACTCAAATGTAGTGCAATGCACTGCATACCTTCAGCACACTGCATACTCCATCACCTTTTTCAAATATGATCTTAATTTTTGAGTTTCATTCCAACTCCAGAGCACACATTTGTGAGTGTTTGGCAGAATCTCTTCTCCATTATACCGGAGGAGACCTCATCAGGCCCTGGTGCTTTGTCTGACCTCCTGCAAAACGTCTTTAGTGTTTAGGATCAAGGCGTAAGTTTCCCTTTCAGGACATTGTGGGCTGGAGTCAACGGTCTCGTCTGTCACCAGGGATGAGATTAAAAAAAGCACTGGAAGGAACATGTACTTGGTCCAGAGTTTCCACCAGCACACACGCTGTGCTCTATATCAATTCATCTGTGTTCTCTGTTAGCTTACATGTGAGGTATCCATCCATTTCCTCACCACTTTATCACATGCAGGGTCACGGGGAAGCTGAGCCTATCCTGGCTAGCAGCGGGCTCAAGGCAGGACAAACCCTGGGTAGGACGCTAGTCCATCACAGAAGTGAGGTATTCATTTTGTGGAAAATGAGCTCTTTGCTTCCTCTGCTACTGATACCACCTACTTTGAAAAATGAGATCGGTGCTCTTCAAATGTACTTGTGCATTGACTGCAAGATTGACATCTGGAGGTCTGAGCAAACAGCAGCCTCCGCAAATCCACGATAAAGCAATTGGTGTAATTATACGTTGCTATTGCTGGTTGCCTTTTCTTCTTCTGTGTTCATTTGCACACCAAACAACATCCAAAACTCATTTCTTTGCATTTCTTAAGCGCCCTCCACCTTTAGGATTGTGTGATTCTGTAATCACTGCTACAGGCCTTCACAGCAGCCCCCACAGGAGACAAAGAAAATAAACGTCTGCATCTATGAAGCATCTCATGGCACTGATGGCTTTGAGTGCGATAGCTGTAATCAACTGGGGGCAG